ATAGAGGAGACCTGCTCTGCTCCTTATACATCAAGCTTTCAGCTCCATATCCGAAAGAGACTGTAAAGTAAATGCAGCCTCTCTAGTATTCACAAGCACACACACACATGTAGTCACAAGCATTATGAGCTGAAGAAACCCAGCTTGGAATAAAAATATATTAAAAGTGATTTTTTTTCCTTTCATTCATTAGTAGTGTTGAAAAGCTGAGTTTCTGTCTGTCTAACTTTTATGCACATACACACACACAGAGAACAATTTCCGGTTCACTGTTTCAGCTGACCTTCCAGACAAATGCCACATTACAGAGGAGAGTGGAGAAATTTGGCATGCAATCAAACTTCTCTCATGATTTCTAAGATTTGAAATTCTTCAGCGTGTGTAGCTCCTCTATTCCATCCACCCCTCCCTGCATGCCTCACTTTTTTTCCCCAAGTATTTAATTTGACTTCTTCTCTCTTCCTCTTGTTACCTTTCTGTCTTAGTGCATCTTTCCTGTTTGGGTTTCTCAGTTTTAACTTGGAGCAGAGCCGTCTGTGGGAATACGACCCCCTTTAAAAGCAGAAAGCCACAGTTTGTGTAAGTACGTGCATGTCTGCAGACGTGAGTGATTATATGAGAGCTCCGCCATGCCTGTGCGTGCATTCTGCATGTGAATCTTTGTGGTTTGTTCAGTCTCGTGAAGCTTTGCCCCCCTTTGCAATTCAACAGTCCTTTAATCCTCATCATCAGTGACCCCAAACCCCAGCTTCCAACCTCTTCGTACACAGAATACAATGCATAAAAGACCACACACACTCATGCCCTCTGTGCCCCCCATTCACCCCCCGATTCATTTGTTCCCACCAGCATAGATGAAGCAAAAGTTTGAACACAAAGGCAAAAATTCCTATATACGTTGTCGCTGTTTGTGTCAACCAATTATCACATCAAACCTCTTTCTCATGCATTTCTGATGGTAATACAAAAATGATATTTGCCACTCAAATTATTATTATTATTTTTGCCAGGTCACTGAGCATTGCACAGATCAGGTATTTACTGTTTGCGATACAGTCCTCTGACAAACATTCCTGGTTAAATTTGATGCTGGAAATTGAAGTAGACAGAAGAACGGCTGGAATCAGAAGTGTGTTTGCAGAAGGAGACAGACACCGGGCACCCTTCTGACATTCCCCTTCAGACTATACACATGCATACACAACTGACAGATACATTCAGTAAGTGTAAACACATTCCTGATCAAAGGGGTGTAATGGACTTTAAAAGTTGTCTTTTCAAGGCGCATGTGCCAATCTTCACTTTAGTGTGGCTGACTTTAAAGGCATTTCTTTGAAGCACATAAGCAGATACAGTATGTTGTTTTTTTTTTCCGGTCAGAGAACTTAAAACACACACATGTAGCTAACACATAGTCACTGACACACAATCACAGATGGAAATGTTGTCTGTACTGCACAGCTTTTCTTTGACTCATTCTAAGCCAAGCAGACGTATTAGAAAAAGCTTGACACACATATGTGTGACCTTTGGTCTAAAGCCATCCGCCTGTTGCCAATAAATTTAGCTTTTCACGAGTCGAGGTAGCTATAGTTGATTTTGCTTTAGAGTATAGGTCAGTGCTGATGTCTATATAGTGCTGCACATGTGGGGAGGTGAAAGAATAGACTGGCCTAACGCTGTATCAGAAACTGACTTTTTGTGCATCAGTAAAAATGTTTAGAGACTTTCTGTTACTACTGCAAATGTGTTTTTTTTTGTGTGTTTTTTTTCACTGTACATCTTTATGTGGTAAAAAAAAAAAAACCTATTTTACCTTAAATAAAACTTTATTTTAATGTTGCTATAATGAAAGAGTTTGTTTTTTCGAATCATAACACAAATATCCATAAATCACTCGTTATATAAAAGAAGGGAAATAGGCCAGTAGAGCTGATCAGGGTGCGTAAAAACAACAATAACATTTTACAATTATATAGATTCAGTGCACTTTTAAAACACTGATTCTGTGCACAGTTTAATTCAATTCAATTCCAGTTCAATTCAAAAATACTTTATTAATCCCAAAGGGAAATTATTTATTGTTGTAACTTGTGATCCGCATTTCATAAAGAGATGTTTTAGATGCTGATGGCTGTAGGCAGGAAGGATCTCTTGTAAAGGTCCATCCCACAGTGGATCCTAAGAAACTGGCTGTAGACGCCCTCCGATCCGTCCACCCAGACTCGGCTGGCCTCTCGGTTCCCCTGGGTTGTAGGACCGCCCGAGTGCCGGGCAGAACTCCTCCTAGAGCGATGGCCACTCCTCCCAGCAGTGTGCTGAGCTCCTCATCTCTGCAGACAGCTAGCTGCAGGTGTCAGGGGACGATCCTGTCTTTCCGCTGTCATGAGCCGTGTTTCCTGCTAGTTCCAGGATCTCAGTGGTCAGGCACTCGAGCACAGCTGGCAGGTTGATGAGAATGCGTCCACAGAGCATCCTTTTCAACTCATCTGAGATTCGGGGCTGTAGTTGAGATATTATTTTAGCTTTTGAGATGTTAATCAGCTGCTGTTGGTTGTAGAAAACTGCCTTGTTGCCATGGTTATGCATCATAACAAATGTCCAAAACTAAAAAAGTTTCAGTAAAAATCCTTCCAGCTGCACAACATCTGTTACCAGAGGAAACAGTTATCAAAAAATGTGATTTACATCCAGAAAGAGAGGAATTAAAGTTTCCAAAAGCAAAATCTCAGAATGAAAGTAACAGAGCTGCTCCAACATGCAGCCACCTTGAGCCGCGCAATTATAGAACTATTATACTATATCTAGAACTATTCTAGAATTCTTAATGGATCTAAATGAGAGGTGGAAATAGAAATTATAACTACTTTAAAGTAATTTAATATAGGTGTGCAATATTTTGAGGGATCTTGGTAGAAAGACAACATAGCACTCATGGCTATTGCCAGGGGTGGAAGTAACGAATTACAAATACTCACATTATTGTAATTAAGTACATTTTTTAGAGTACTTGTACTTTTATGAGTATTTCTTTCAAATGTGTAATTTTACTCATATTTAAGTACAATTTAGACCATATAATCTACTTTTCTACTTTTAAAATCAGAAGTCGCTACTGAGAACGGCCGCAATTTGATTAAATATTTAAACCATTCATCTGCATCTTTGTAGCCAATAAGGATCTCAGATCGCCAACGTGCCAATTACCTATGATGTAAGCAAAGGACAACTCTGTAGAGTCATTTATGGAACAAAGATTTGGAGAAAAAGCCAAAATGGAGACAGAGGACAACACTGTCAACAGAGAAAATGACGAGGTACAGGCTGAGGACGAGTGCTCGTGGTCGTACCTGGAGGAATGTTTCATGTACAGAGGGTGAAAAGGAGACAGAGTCCAGATGCAAACTTTGTTTGATCTCTACGGTGATAGCAGCTACAAGACTTCAGCATCTAATCTCAAAAACATATTGTGGTATACAAAGTTTGACACCTGTATGATTTTGATGTTTTATTGTTTGTATGTGTGGGTTATTGGTTAAATATGCAAAGATCTTAAATATTGTCACTGCCATCGGTTTGTCTGGTACTAACATAAGACGGAGTGTCTGAGAAATGTACTTTGAATGTAGCTGTTGTAAACAGTGAATCCAACTGAATGACTTCTATTGACAACACAATAAAACATCAATTGGCTAAAAAGTAATTAATACTCTGAGTAGTTTTTGAGAAGAGTACTTTGTACTTTTATTTAAGTATTGTTATAACATTAGTACTTTTACTTGTAATTGAGTACAGTTGAAGCAGTTCAACAGTATTTGTACTTGAGTGCAACTTTTCAGTGCTCTTTCCACCTCTGGCTATTACAGTGGGGTTTGGGTGTTTACAGACAGAACAGATTTGAACACACTGTATTTCTTTGCTTGTTCAGTTTAATAAACTCACTGTAGCTTCTCCTAATTGCTGTAGGAAATTTGGTGCAGCTTAGGTTGTTAACTGCAACTTTACAGTTCATCTAAATAAAATATGTTGTCCATCCATCATCCATCCATCCATCCATCCATCCATCCATCCATCCATCCATCCATCCATCCATCCATCCATCCATCCATCCAT